GCTTGCCCGATCTTGATGCTTCGACGCATGTGGTGCACGAAGTCCCCCACAAACCGTTCCCTCAAGACCTTCTCTGGCTCGATGTCACGAAGGGACTTGATGTGATCGTAGGCCACGGCAGACTCTCGAAGGCCAGGAGGGCTCGAACTAGCCCCCCATATGTGGCAGCTCGGTGCCGCCCTGCCATGCAGTGGTAGAGCACGTCCTCACCTGCCCAAAGGCTGTTCTTGGTGAGCGCGAAGACCTCGGCGAACTCCTCGTCGCGGTTCCTGCTGCGAAGGTCCAGCTTGCGCCCCAACCTCCTGGCAAAAAAAAGGACCCCACCCCTCTGCTCCGGGGTTTTGTCGAAGCAGGTCACCTTGGGGAAGTGCTGCGCCGTAGCTGACGTCGGGACAAGAAGAGCCTGCCCCCAGATCCAGAACGCCAAATCTCTGCGAGGGCCTGAGCATCCCTTCCTCCCGCTGTGGCAAGGCGGTCGAAGTAGTTGTGCCAGCTCTCGGTGCGGCCGCGCTCTGCACTCCCTGTGGCCCCCTCCGCTGGCGAAGGGCTCGCTGCCCTAAGTTGAACCACGGGGACCCTCTCCGACGAAGCGGCGCTCGTTTCTGGGTCGGGCCTTGCAGCCGACTTCGGCCTCGCCTTCACTTTCGGCTTCAACTTGGGTGCTGCCTTTGAGGAGGACCCCGGAGAAGACTGAGGCGATCGTGTCGACGGCGAAGAGGGCGGCGCTGAGCTTGCTGAAGCGGGCTCATCGGCGATTGGCACAAAGCCGGGGAGCTGCGCAGCCTCTTTGGGGGCGGGCCAGCCGGCTCAGGGACCCTGGCTGGATCCTTCGGCCGCGGCGCTGGGGCTTGTGGTTCCCTCCAACAGGCTCGTCCGCTCCTCAGCGCTACTGCGCAACGGTGCGATCCCGAGCAATCATGCTCCGCCAGGTTGCAGCGTCCAAGCTGAAAGCGACTGGCCGTTTTTGAAGAACGCAGTCAGGACCTTCCCATTCAGGGTGGCTGGCATTTGTGCCACTTGCTCCTTGGCCGATGTGGCCCTTGTCTTGGCAGCACGGAGCCTCCAGTCCTGGTCAAGGCCAACGAGCGGTGCAAGGCCTCAGTGGTCACAGGAGCCTGGTAGATCGTGGTCCGGTCCCCCACGATCACATCATCAACCTGGCTCCTGACCGCTCCTTTGATGCGCTCCAGCTCCGTGTCCGTGACAGCCTAGTGAGAGTGCCTTGAACCGAAGCGAAGTCGTATAGCGAGCGCTGCTGTAGTGGAGGGGCATCTGGTTACCTTCCGGGTTGTTGCTGGCCCAATCTCCCAGCGCCAGCTGGTTCTGAGGAGATAATCGGAGAAGCTGGCCCACCGTCGGCAAAAGCCGCCTCCAACTGTAGGTGGTCATGTCCGCAGGCTCCTGAAGCATGTCACTGAAGATTTCCTGGACACTGAGGTTAATTTCAGAAATGGCCCAGGGCTTGCCGTCCCGATTGAAGCACATGCCCGCTCTCTTCTTGGCCAGCGGAGTGAGTGCCTCCCACTCGCGGAGCCATGCCTCGGCCCAAGACCATCCAGAGGAGAAGCGGGAGCAGATCGCGAAGTCGAACCCAGAGATCCTCAGGTGCGCCTGCTTCCCCCGGCGGCAATGACCATGAAAAGCTGTCGAGGAAATACGGCACGGCTCGGAGACCTGAAGGTGGCGATACCTGAGGCAGCCCGCCGCTACCAGCCAGGACCCTAACAGGGCCGTCCACTTCGCGCCCCTTAAAAGTGGGCCAGCTCGATCTTTTCCTTCAGGAACGCCAGCATGTCCGGGCCGACACAGGGTGCTTGGCCGCGAGGCTGCCCCGACCTGCCCTGGCCATGGCCAACCTCTACGTCAGCCAAATCGAGGTCAAGCTTCGCCTTCTTGACCAGCCACTTCAAGCCAGCCAGGGCTCGGGCCGGTGCCGGAGTGCCCCTGCCAGGAAGGAGTACACATCCACTATCTCAGGCACCAAGGGGCGTCCCTTTGCCATGCGGAGAGCTCGCCCCAAGTCCTCAAGACGCCCTCGATAGTAGAGCGATCGGCCCTGTCCACAAACCTGGACGCTGTCCTGTCGACAGCCCTCTCCCACTCTCGGCGAAGAGCGTCCGTAAGAGGACCAGCCGGGCGAAACGCCCCCACCTGGACCAAAGCCGCAGCCAGCCGCTGCCTGCGATCACGCAAATCGCCGCCGTCTGGCTGGGGCGGGGCAATCCTACCCTTGCGTGCTGCAGCCGCGCTTGGCCTAGGCAGAGGTGGCCTATCACGCGAAAACAAAGGTGCTTGCCACTGCCATGGACGCAGCCGAAATAATGAGGCAGCCTTCCTGCTCGCGGCCCGAACCACCGCCCACGCATCGGCCACATGATGGCCCGCTTGTCTCACGGCCTGCTCGTAGTTCGTGCAATAAAAGGCGAAGTCGGAGTCGCCCTGCACCCTGTGCTTCTGCCTCCATTCGCGAACACGGCTGGCAGCGATCACCTGGAGGGACGTGTCTGCAGACCACGTCCCCTCGCCCTCCATCGCCTGCACTGCATAGGCTCCCGCCATGATGTGCCACAGCCCAAAGCCCGAGGCGAACTGTGCGAGCCGATGCAACCAAGGAGGCGGACTGCACATGACAAACTGGCTTAAGCGACTTAGCTCAGCACGACACCGTTCAAAACCCTGGGGAAGTAAACTCGGCCGGGAGCACCCTGATGTTCGTGCGCTTACTCGCCACGTCCAGGGGAAACCTCCGGCAGCCAGCCCAGGGCGAGAAGACTGCATACCAGGGCCAAAAGCAACAAGACGGTTACCGACCGCTCGCTGCTGCACTCGGCCAACAAATGACCCGTAGACTGCAAGACTGTGACCAGGGGTGCGGTTACCGACCGCCCGCCCCTGATCAGGGGTACCTCCCCTTATATGTTGCGAAACTCCCTGAGATCGCCACCCAGGAGAATTCGCAGCCCCAGCCTCGGACCAAGCCAATGCAGATTTGAAGTGCTGTCCCTCGTGTATCACCTCGCCTCCCACGGGCCGCCCTACCTGTACCTCAGGCAGACTCTGACTCGGAGCTCCAAGCCGTGGCCTCAGCAATCCTGACATTGCACGGGTGACATGGTCCAGCCCTAGACCCTGGCTCCAAGAGGTCCCCGCAGTAGAGGCATGCTCGTGGGAGAATGCCGGGGGACTCGCTGGCGCGCACAAACCTGATCCAGTGATGCAGGGCACGTTGCGCCCTAAGGTGCGGAACCATGAAGGCAGAGGCAGCATCGGGAACGGACTCGGAAGGGTCACGCCAAACCAAGTCACCTTGTTGCCAAGAACGAACCGCTGCGAGAAGGTCGTGTACGCGGGTACCCTCCCTGCGATGCAATGAGTTAAGCTCGGCTGCGTAGATGGCTGTGAAAGCGTGTCGGGGGACAAGGTCCGAGAGCTGCAACCCCGAACTGAGGGCGTGACGCTCGGCCCCCGACATAAGCTCGCGGGATGCAGCCAAGGCTCGCCGAGCATCAAAGGGGCTGAGGCCTTCTTCGGGTACCACCCGGCGGCGCGTCCATGGTCCCAAGAACGGGAACTGAAAGCCCCCGAGGCCCTCACGGCATCTTCTGCAGTCAGCCTTGGTACACACGAAGCGCCGCAAAGGAACCGTGACATCACCGAACCGCAACTCCAGTAGCGGGACATCTGACACTGGTAAATGCATGATCTCGCACACCTGGTTCCATATCGACCAATAGACTGATCGGCGGCCTGCGCGGTCGAGCTCGACCATGTGCACCTGGAAGTCAGCCAAATTTTCGGCTGACAGCAACGGTTGAAGAGTGTGGGTGACGATAACCTCAACCGCGGCATCACCCATCACAATGACACAGGGGTACCTCCCCTGGGAAAGAAAACTCTAAGCCTTTTTGGGTCGAGAACTTGAGCCAAAATGGCTACGTGTGCTCAAGGTCAGCTTGCAATGAAGACTGCTCACCCATGCCTACCAAACACAAAGCAGTTTTAGACGGGTGCTGGTCGCGACAGGAGAATATGACGAACCACAAAGAACAACGAAGAAGAGGAGTGGTCAAACACAAACCGATCAAACTAGCGTAATGACTTGTGTTGACAAGCAAGCTGAATAGGAAGATATTCGAGGCATGATAGCAGCAGCCATTGCATGTGTGAGTCGGAGTTGAAAATCAATGCTCGATGTGGCGTCCAGAGACGTTGATGAGCAATTCCAGCCTACCACATTGCTTTCGGACCATGAGCATATGTGATGATTTGGATGAAGGGCCTGTGGCCAAAGGCCCCCGACACTCTCACGCGCAACATGTGGACACAGCAAGCGGCAAGTAGGTATCTTCCTTGAGGAAGAGGTAATGGGTTTTCTGGATTGCGAGTTCGCGCTTAGAACGTAGGGCTGCTTGCAGGATACCTGAAACTACAAAAGACCTACTCTTTTGTAGCTTATGATTCACGAACCGCAATGCTTTTGTTTTGCATCAAACAGGGGCAACTCATAAAAGCAGCTTTTGGTAAGCTAAGGTAGAAGTAGCAAAGAAGCCTGAATCGCAATACCATCCCTCCAGAACAAGGCTGAGTGTTCCTGTGCACGCCGTCTACGTGCACGCTAGGCCGAAGACCGAAGAAACCGCTAACTCAGTTCTCAACTGCTTTACAGACACGTGCTGTCTCGCGGATCTGCTCAACGATGAACAATCAACAACCAGTCTCCCATAGCCCAAAGCCTCTGAACTCCTTGCCTGACCATTTGTGTCTCCGTGGAAGGATGCGACAACAAGGCGTCGTCCCGAGCTGTGCGTCGCTCGCACAGCGATGAGATCTCCGACCTCGCGAGAGAGTCCGGATGTGCTGCTGTTGTTGCTAAGATTTGCTGTGATTGCTGCTGCTGCTGCTGCTGCTGCTGCTGCTGCTGCTGCTGCTGCTGCTGCTGCTGCTGCTGCGTATGCCGCCACCATCACAACCCCGACCACCTGCTGCTGCTCTTGCTCCCT